CTGCATAAAATCTGTCTTTCGAATTGTTGCGCTTCAAGCGAAATTATATGGCTTTGTCTGAAATTAGAAATCGTTGAAGATACGACGACTAGCGCGGGCAGTGGATTTTTTCATACGTTTGAAACTAGTGCGGTCTGAATTTATTTGCCCTTATTTAGATCGATCATAATTTAATGTGGTGCTAAATTTGCACACTAGAATATAAAAGACTTCTACGATCAAAGCTAAACGTAACGGGCGAAATTCACTTTTGTACGGTGGATCCATTATGTCTATTATTTATAGAATAACGGACAGCTTTTTTCATCAGAATGTTTAAACTCTCGTGCACTAGTCTACTATTGTATAACTGACTCTGTCAAAGAGTTCTACTATCTTTGAGAAACTGGATGCTTTTTAACGTATCATAATTTTCTTTTTGTTTTCATTTTCTTTTGTCAAATATTCTGTAAAATAACAACATAAACCTTATGAGATTTTCCAAAGCATTTAAATAAAACTAATATAGCATTTCACATACGACACGTCGCAGGGAGTACTGTGACTGTTTTGTTTTCCTGTGTGCCGCACTATTCAAGGAAGACGTCCTTGAATAGGAGTCCGTGTGTTATCGGTCACCGGGGCCTATGCATCGAACACAGACGCAACTTGCGTTTGGCGTTCGTCACGGTACGATTCATTAATGTACGCAACATAGTTCACTGCGTAGAGGACTTATGGGTATTGATCCTTTCTGTGCGGTCTTTTCACGTTCCATCCACCATGATGCTGGTGGCAACAAACTGAAACGATCTCGACGATTTGTTTCTTCCGTTAACGGACGAATTTTAGATCGGCGGAGGTTAATGTCAACCCTAAACAAATATCTGCTACCATATACACAAAGCGATTATGGCGGGATGTGTGCAGGTTTAATGCTTTCTTGAAAAAAGCTGATTTCAACTGGTCTTCTTTGCACATCTGGACCGTGTTAAAGTTTTTTTAGATGAGTTCGATGCCGTAGTAGGCTACTGGCGCAAGCTTGACTGAGAAGACGGGTCGCCGTATACGGGAAAGGTAGTGCCGGCTTTCGAGCAGCGCTAGCTTCAAGAATTTCTCTGAAACGTGTTATTATATACTTGCTAAAGTAGATCCCAGGGCCGGATAACATTGGGCTTATATGGCAAGAATGCTTTACGTATTTTTGAGGAGGGAAGGTTATAACCGAAGAATCCCATTTCCTGTTAATGGCCCTGCTTTTTAGGAACTTCATAATACTGTCCTTATCCAAGTTTATTTCTAAGTCGGCGTCTATTGCGTACTGTTGAAAGTGAGCCAACGTCAGCTTAATCTTGTGTCATGATGGGGTGTTCTAGCATAATGGATATCATGAGCTGAATTCCTGCCTTAGCGAATTTGAGCAAAATTCGGTGTCCCGGTACTCTATTGAACGCCGTCTTTTTGAGGCGGCCGAATAAAGTATAGATGACTTGTTTTGCCCACCTTGTGCTCATAGCTAATTTTACCTTGCCAGGCAGGATTGGGCAGACAGTCATTGTTAACTTTCCTTCGTGGAAGCCGTGTGTTCTTCAGAGATCATGCCTCAAGCCTTCAGGAAAGCAATGAGACACGTAAAGTGTATGGCCGAAAATACCTCGAAAGAACATCTCTATTAAGCAGTTTGCCTCCACGAGCTCGGTTCTTAAAAATAGTTTTTGACTCCCAGGATAATGGCAAAAAGTGCTTTCTGTCCCGCTTTGGAACAACAAGTGTAGAGAGCAATCCTTCGTAAGACTAACACTACTGCCTTCGTGAGGAGTGCCCATCTGATGTAATTTAGATTGGCGATCATATTAGGCTTAGACCGCTAAAGTGCGACTGGCACCTCACCAACCGTTGTGTCATTGGCTCCCGCAGGCTTCATCTCATTTGTCCACTTGTCTGATGCAGTATCCTTGTAAGTGTGTATGCACCTAAAATAAGGATATCTGATCTTATAGAACAGCAATAAGATGCAGGCCGTCATAGCTATCCAGAGCAATGTTGTTCTACTTCGAGTAAAAGTAGTTTTTCTGGATCAATGCTCTCCGTTCGTTTAGTCCGGTAGACATGCTTGCCTCATCTTAGTAGAATGACAAAAAGAAAACGTATCCATGAGAAGACTACGGGCAATAAATGGGCACTCATCTAACCCTCGTAAGAGTTAAAATTGCCTGTCACAATTATTGGCAAACCATTAGGAAAGGCGTTGAGAAATGGCATCAGTGTCTTTTATAGTACTGTTGATTGTTCGTTAGGGCTTGTTTAAGCTTCTGACTCCCTTGGACAATAATGTTGTCTTCCAATGCAGGTACTCTGACACGCTCTAGGCGTTGATTATGGGGTACTTAAGGTTCTCTATGAGTAAGTGTACCACCTAGACATGAGATTATTATGTCAACGCCTTGGAAGGCTGGGGGTGACAGGAAGTTTATGGAACGAACATACCTACAGTTTTATGGCGCAGCCGCTAGCTGTTCCAAAGTTTCTCCGGGGCGCTCATTGACCTGGACCTCTCCTGACTACACGACATCGAGGACGTAATCGACGGTGCTTCGCACTTTGTTGTACCTTCCGGTCATCTTAGTTTCCAGACCTGTCCGGTCTGCTTCGGCTCCCCTAGTATTTGCCGACCGGTGGAATCTGGGACTACCAACTGGAACTTCGTAAGGTGCTTTCGGGTTTCGAAATTGAGCTGGACGGACGCTAATTGTTTGCCTTTTCGCCACGCAGTGTTGGAGCTTTTCTCAGTTCTGTTGAATGTGAAGAAGTCTCTCAGTTTCGATTTGTGGACTTTCGTGGTACAGTTTGGCTCCCTAGAAATGGGATGCTCAGCAGGAGACGGCTCTGGGGCAAAGGGTTCTAATTTGGAAATTTCTTCGATGGCAATAAAGGCCCTATCTGTTAAATCTCCTATTAAAAGCTCCAGATCATATCGAAAACTTCATGCTCAGAACTTTCCTGTTCTTCATATGGTACCTTCAGATAGAAAGTCAAGGTGCTCCTTAACTCTATTTTCAGGGCAAAATGTCACATATATTATAACACCGTAAAGCTTGATTCAGTAAAACATGAAATAGGTTCAAGTGAAATAGATAGAGTACAAATATTATAAGTTATTACATCTATCGATATGCATAAGTTGAACTTCTTGACTATGCGCCTCAACGTTATCTGCAGTACCAACTACTAGGAAAACGGGTTCAGAAATATCGGCGTATTTCCGAACTATTTCTTCAAAAATTTGCTGTTCTGAAACCGAGGACAGTTTTTTTGTAAATATATTTTTAATGCTATAAACATTTATAAAAGTACAACAGGGCAATTTCAACGTTATTCTAAAATTCTCTAGAAAGGCCTATTGGTGCGAGCAGACTATCGTCCTTTAACGAAACTGACACATTTGCCATATTTTGTAGCTAGTCAGTATATTCCCGTTTTATCATACATTTAAAATTAATAAAAAAGTGAAAATTTTTAAATTTGAAGGAACGCTCAAAGCTCACTTCTTCAAACAACAGCTTCCCATTAGTTCCCGAGAGTATCTGTACGCCTCCGGTGCAATAACGAACGCACCCAGCATCATTATTTACAACAGACGCACGTTCCTGTATTTCAAAACAGAAGTTAAATATGTTGCCAATGCTTGGAATAATTAAACGCAACATAAGCTTGCATAATATATCAGAAAATAGCCGTATTGTTTTTCGGTTACCACTGCGAGGACAAATAGCTTTATTATTTATAGCAGGCCTAGCGAACTCCAAGTTAACCCCACTTACAAAGAGTTGCCACTGAAGGGACACCAGGCCAAGTTATCTATTTCGATTGTATTTTCGTTCGAAACATTGGTTCTAATTTATTTCAACTTTTATCGACGATCTAACCGCTATCATTATTGATCAGATTGCCAGCAATTCGTTGGTATCTGGCCACACAGAAGCTGGCACAAGATTTGTCATTAAAGCGGGCGCAATGGCGCTCGATTGTACACAGACAACCCGCGGCTGCTGGTATTCGACAGGTTCAGTGTTAACTTCTAAACGGTCGCACAATCCCGTCGGTCTTCACCGTCGCACTCCTAAACGTCCTTCTTGCTTCTCTAACACAGGCAGATTTTAGAAGCAAGCAGATCACGTCTCATTGAGAATCGGATCATTCAGTTGAAAGCTTAGCCACATACTTGTTCAGGATGGTATCTTCGAATGCGCAGACCGAGCTATACTCAGTAAACGATCATGGAGGTTTAGTACCACAATCATGTTGTTAATGTTATGCCGGTCGGGATCGATGTGCTCGTGCTGGATTATGTATTTGCTTTCGTAGATAAAAAAAAAAAAAAAAAAGCAAACGCCTGATGATCCTTGAGGCGTTAGAGACAAAACCAGAACTAAAACAACAACGGTAATGTGCGTAATGCTTCGTTGGAAACCACGCATTTACCAAAACTTGTCCGTCGTACACGAATCTTTATACGACGTTGCTGCTATTGAATTGTTTCATTTACCACAATCCGTGACTACCATATTCCAAAAGATTTACAATGAAAGTGTCTTCAGACATCACTTGACGCTACTGTGAGAAAGGTCTCAGGCGATTAAAATTCTACCCAGCCTTAAGAGTCACATCGCAATTACTTGTTTGTTTACTATATAACTTAAAGACAAACTGTGAGTAACACACAGAGAAGCAGAAACTTATTCTCGAGACCTATTCTTATATTATTATTAGAGCGTACTCGAAATCAAAGGTATTGTTTTGACGACACAATCTGAAACGAAATTGCATTGTTTCCTACGGATACAAGTCCTCAATGAGCGGTTCATATTTGCTCAAAAAGTCCATATCCGTCGATTCAAGATGCTTTCCCGTACAGGATCTCCTGGCCATCACCATATTATGATACGGATTCTTTACGCTAGTTAACCGTAAGCAAGTAGTCATAGTAATTTGCATACTACTCAGAATCTGTTGCGTTGCAGGTGATGTACCAGGGCTTCAAGCAGATGTGCCCCAGTGGTCTTGTAGACGAACCCACTTTTCGAGATATTTATGCTCAATTCTTCCCTCAAGGAGGTATGATGTTCAGTTTGTTTATAGGACCTGTAGACTTTTAAGGAATAGCAAATAAATCACTATTAGTCGATGTACTAGTGAATCAGCGTTCGTTTTCGCTTATAGATACTTCATATTTATTTCAATTCATATAATAAGACCCACTACAAACCCTTGTGTATAAGTTAAATTAACAAAGTGAAGGTTACAATTTACAAGCCTATTGTTAATTAGCGTGGTTTTCGGAAAAGATCCATAAGAAAGGAGTGCTAGTATAGAGTCATTCATTCCCGATATGTCAGCCTCAGAGCGGTTATGTCAAAACCCAAGGTCTACGACGGTATTGCACATTACAATGTAGACATGTCGTGCAAGGCTACGCAAAGGGCCCTGGTAGTTAAAGCTGACGTGATCTTCATCTGTTGGTTAGTGCTTTAGGCCATTACGAAAGAAGTTCTGAACGCAGTAGCTGCGGATTCATTAGCAAATCCAAATACTTCAAACTGTAGCAGACTGCAACGGTTGGGTCTGTTGCATAAAAGAACTTTTTGTGTGTGGGCTATACGAGAAGCGCGGTCTTCGGTTTGACAGAAATTAGCTAACCCAGAAGCTTGTACCAAGAGACCATGTAAAGGCCATCGAACGTTTGCCGTATGGACTACAGAATTTTTGCGTGTTAAAAATAATTTTCTGAGCTGGTTCGCGCATCTCTACCTAAACGGACCATTGAACAAACGAAAAGCTCGCGGCATTTACAGTTGCGAATATGACATCATTATATAGTGGGGACTCCGAGAAGGAGCTGTCATCGAACCGTTTACTACTTATCTGCTGATGGCTCAATTAAAAAATGATGTTCAAACACTTTCGGTGGTTGAAATTAGATGAGTTTAACTTGTGGTTTCTAAAAGTTTAACTTGTGGTAAATGTACAGTTTTTCGCGGTGTACCCGTAGGGTGCTCGCCCCCGTTCATGTTGCTTAACACCATCGAGGTTTTTCGTAGAGATTTTTTGAAAAACCAAATTTATAGAATTAGGCATCCACACATGATTTTGGCAATTCGGTTCGATTTATATAGAAAAGTTATTACAAATTAAGTGTTTTACGTTTAGTCTGTGAAGAAACATTATGGCAGTTATTTGAATGATTTAACATTTAGAACACAATGGCAGGCATTGGCATTTATAATATTGTTCTAACCTCGTGCATACTAGCTGAGCACCAAGAGTTCGAAATAACTTCATCATGAGAAAATTACCTTGTATAACTAGATGACAATAGTGGCAGCTTTGCCACTTCCAAGTTGTTATCAATTGTTTAACAAGTTAGAGGCCTCACATGGTTTACTTCTAGTGGCTGACATCTAGGACAATACTCAGTGTCAGAATGATAGCTATGTTAGCATCCAATTTTTCATAAACTTGGCATAAATAGCGAATTCGAACGCGCAGACAACTTTTTTGAAGGTTCTCTTCAATAAAGAGTGCAAATTTACATAGTGAGCATGACGGCGAAGGCCCAAGACATCCAATCGTCAAAGGCCTGACTTTAGACGAAAAAGCGTCTTTTATGAATGAAAAAATCATACATTATACCGACAATAGTAAACTGCCACATGTGGAGTTCGCATGACTACAAAGCCGCACGTACTCTTTATGGCTTTCGAAGTAGAGTTAAAGGGATTCGAGAGCTAGAAACCCGGAGGCAATGCAGCTCAAACCGAAATTCTATCAAGCACAAAAACAACTGGTTTACTTATTGGAAGGGTTATTAAACGTAGGTAATCGACGTAAAATGGGGTTGAGTATTACGAGGGTACGAAAATAAATTAGAACGGAAGAGCAGGATCCCTTCTATTCCCGTTACTATTTTTTGATATTGGCTCGTGGTAGAATAGAGAAAATTTAAGTAGAAAAGTAACATTTTCGTCAAAAAACGATAAGAATACGTGGCTCTCCCACATATATCTATAGAGGTCTATCTATTTGTATCGATTATTTCGCTTGTAACAATAACTTTAATAGGCAGTTTTAACCTAGGCATCAGCCATACAGCAAATGACGTGTGCTCTAAGCTGAGCCGATGTTCAGCAACTTTGCCCGCCAACAAACCTGACCGCGGAGCTGGCGCTAGCCTGCCGTACTCCTGGCCCAGATAGTCTGAGGCTTGCCCATCCTGGCCTCCATTTATACTACCTTGCTGCTTTATCTCGGCTCGTTTATTGTTTAATGAAACCTTGGCTGGCTGCGCTAATTTTCCACTCCCTTACTACTGAATTCGAACGACTTGCCCTGCCTTTGCGTCGCCCACCGTCTACTAGCTGAAAGCTCCACTTATGCGAAGTCGTACTAAGCGGCTTCTTCGAAATCTTCTTCAAGCCATCGCATCACCGCTGTCACCATTATTACCATAACTATGGTCAGGATCCATGGGTAACAGGAACGTGAAGGGGCGTTCTGTCTGCCGCGCCTTACCGAGAGCTCAACTCGTACCTTGGGTGTTTTGCGGAGAAAGTTTGGTATTAAGAGCACGGCTTACATCGATGAGGCTGTATCGGTAGTTTAATTCAGAATAACTGTTGGGTTCCGGTGTCGAAAACGGGGAAAAGAGAAAAGCAAACGAACAAATAGAAAAGGAACCACTTATGGAGAAAGATACAGCAGGACGATACCCTTTCGTTTTTTCCTTAGAGGTGTCCTTATCGTTTCTGGCCGGTCCATCTGGCTAATTGCGTTCTACTCTAGCTGTTAAGCTGGTCACGTCTTCTGTACGTGTATGTCATGCTTGTGACTGACTGATTGATTGATTGATTCTGGCAGAACCCCCTCTAAAAATATGAAAGGCGAATAATAACATACAACCGACAGATTTAGGCCTGAGAAGACCAGTTAAAATATAGTAGTTATTAGGACTGGTCTTTATTTCACACACAGTAGTAATAATTTAGACTCCAATTCCAAATTCTCTAATCTAGTAGGTATACTATAATATCGGCTATTAATACTAAAGTTGACATAGGACTCCAGACATAATTGAAAACTGATTAGGTCGTGCAGCCAAATGGCTTCGATAAGCCATCATGCTACTCTTCTCTTCGCCAAAAAGCCGTAAAAGTGAGCTGCACGAAACGGTAAACAATATATATAGGGTCTCTGTACTTACATAATATAGGACATATATTTAATAAAATATATTAGCTCTGGCAAATTAAAGTTATTACTGGAGAACGGTTCAATAAAGTTTCGTATTTATTTGATTGCGTGTATGCAGGAATAAAGGGAGAATCCTCAGGCTGCATATTTCGATCTGTTTTTCAAGTATATGATTACCCCGAATCGACTTCAAAACCTTTACTGTTGTTGTCACGGAAGTGCTCTTCAAAGTCAAAGAATAAATTGTTTTTTATCCAACACTCAGCGAGAAATGCCTCAGTTTTATTAATGCGTTTCAGATTGCTCTGACCCTTTTCTCCCTTCTCCTACTTTACGAGAAACCTATATTAACGGACTTGGCACCTGCACATGGATCTCTTACTGTAGAGGTTCTTTTTTGTACAAAATGTCTTCGTAAAAGTATTTTACGTAACTATTTAGATTCAAAGACGCGAATTATGCAATATTCCCTCACGATACGAACGAAGCTGCCACCTTTTCGCGCGACTATTACTGAATCAGTCGAAGGCGAAGTAGCTAGCTAGATTACACGTTGTCGTGGAACAGTCATTGTACTTCAAGGGGTTGTGTTGTTCCACCCAGAGGCAGTGCGCCTCACGCTTACATCTAGCCTCGCAATCGTTGCCGAAGGTTCAGCCGTTAGAGGAAACAAGAGCGTATTCCTTCATGCAGATGCAAAGACGATTATTTTGGCGTTGGCCTTCCTGAAAATTGGATAATTCAATAACAGAGTCCGTGCAGTTGCATACACGTATTTCTGATGTGCGTCTTGCTAGCGGCGCACAGCTGGTGGTACTCAAAGATGCAGAGGGTTGAGTTCCTTAATGTATGAACATCCCGAAGTAAGAATATATACTAGAATTCACATATAATTTAAGCTACAATGAATTTTTTTACATATATTTGTGTCGACTGTGAGTTTAAAGCGGCCTACCTCTGATTCCAAACCTACAAATAGACAAGTTATCAAATTCTATTATTAGCCATAGTATGGATCGCCAATAGAACGCTAACACTATACATTAAGTCAATGGTGGCAGCAATACATTGTAATGGTACATTTGTATAATATACCTAATAATATTGTAGCTACATAACGTAAGTTATTATCTCAGTGGAACTTTATTCCAACAAACGTTTTGGTACCACTCAGAAGGAACACGGATATTTGTATTTGACGATATAGCACTCGGCCAAAGGTGCTGGGTGTTGCACCTGCTACAGGCCTCGTAAAATAGCTGTCCATATAATTGAGACCACCGAAGCGGACAAATTAATTATGTCCATAAACTTACCCTTCAGCAGCTAACATGAAAGTAACACAGTCACCGTAGGCTATATCTTCATCATGTGCGCCCTCACACTCAGGCGCGGCTCCGCTTCGAAACTATTTCTCGGCGCATATTTCAGGCCCTTTAGCGTACCGCTTGCCTTACTGGTTGTTCGATTCTCTGAAGCCGAAGTACCTGCACCTGGCAGCCAGTTTCTGAACGCTGTGTTGTCGAAGAAGCACAACTTACATAAGTCGAAGGTCTGAATTCTCTGCAAATTCCCTAATCTCTCTGAGCTTCTTGACCAGCTTATTCACAGGCCATTATAAAGACAATACTTCCTTGGACTAGGCAATATTTTTTTCCTTTGAAAGAGCTTTCCCGTTAGTTTTGGTGGATTGCCGGGCGCTATGTTAACTTCCATGGCAAAACCGTCCGTCCAACCTAAAAACATTCTGAAAAATCTACGTGTTAGATACAGACCAAAATTCACCGATCAAGATATGGAAAATGTCTGACAGTGTGGAGGTCATAATCGGATTGTGCGCGTAAAAGTAGATAGTTTACCTCTTCCTA